CATTGCTTAAGCCTGGAAACAGCAAGCATCAGTTACAAATCTCTGCTATGAGATATCAGAATTAATTCTACACAACACTACTGCCTATGCATCACCTGGTCCACAATTTGCAAGGTATTCACCCCTATTCACCCATACATGACACATCCCCAACTCCCGCGGTAGTAGGGAGGAGGATTTTCTTGAGTAGAAATGTTAGCTCAACCACTGCGTGTGCTCTACCCATGAGGAGCTTACATAGCCTGCACTGCCTGTTTCTTGTCAGCTGTCACAGTGGGCAAGGACTGGTGTCCCGTCACTGGACATTCATCTTTCATGGCACGGGTGGGAGAACACTTTCCTAGGATGCTCTGTAGTGGAACATGGTACAGACAGAAAGAATGAAAGGGCAATTTTTATTATTCATGTGCAGTTTATGCTCCAGCAAGGACCATTCCAAGAAAGTGTTCTCCCAGCCAGGAGATGTTCCTGGCATGCCCACTGGTGCCGGGACATCAGCAAAATTTCCCATAACTGGTATCTGAATATAGTTAGCATATAATCAATTGGAATAAGTACCAGTATTACAATATGTATCAGACTTGTGGACGCCTGGGCCAGCCATTATTTGGATGGCACATGTTGTAAGACTCCCACAAGAAGTAGAATATGCACCAGACTTACACATATTACAAGCCCAAGCCAGCTTGCTTTGACCCATAATCATACTATCAGCTGTGCTTTGCTTGATATTCTACATCCCTGGAATGAAATAGAGGCTCAGGGCATTAGCTGATGAAACAAGGAGAGGACAGGGTGGCTAAACAGGCCCCCCTGGGCTCGGGAAGTAAACAGGGAATGGGGATGCTAGGGGAATGGGGAAAGTAACTGACACCCTCCTCAGACATTCCCAGTGGAAGTGGTGTACATATCCTGGCCCAATGGATGTTGAAGGGAGGGGCTGCATGAGACACTGTGAAACTTAAATGGGCTCAGATAGTTAAGCAGGGTATCTCAGATTTTGGCTGGAGCTGAAATCATCCAGTCCTTGCAAAGGGTAAAACTAAAATATCAGTAATTTATCTATTTCTATCTCAGGTTATGACCATGGGTGGAGGTTTGCACACAGTGGGATTTGTATCTAGAGCACAGCAACAGATCCTGGGCAAGGGAGGTGGCATGTAAGTGCCGGCACCGAGAGTCAGGACCAACATCACATTGTGTATGATAAACAGGAGTCATAAAAATTTGTGAAAACATGTAGCTTTATTTTCTTGGATCACAAACAAGAAGAACATGACAGTAGACTCCAGTGGCAAGGCCACGGGTTCCAACTCTAGTATATTCTGTGGCAGGTCTCGTAGGTGTCTGATCATACAAGGAGCCCATGTATTCACTGCCTGAAAACACAAGCCAGTTGCAGCTACTTGTGTGTACTCAGACAACAAATACACGCAGTGAGTAACAGATAAGATGTCATGGCACGGCCGATGACTCAAAGTAGGCCAGATTTCCAACTAATTTTCGCAAGGACTGCTCCTCATGTAATCTTCCCAGTCAGTTATAGGCATCATTTCTACCCTGCTGTGGATCAGATTCAGCATATATGGGGACAATCATGCAGCGCAAACCAACAACAGCATCAATTGTCCAAGTCACCAGAAAAATTGCAACAGATACTGGGCCATTGATCAAGGATCGAAGCTTTGCAGACAGTGTCTGCAAGGTTTTGGCATTGATGGTCTGGAAACACATTCAAAGAGTCTACTTGGCCTCCCAATGCTTGTTCAATTCAACACCTACTTAGGTTACCCACACAGAGGATTGTGTATTACTCTAAGGCAGTTGGCACATGAATAGTTGAATTGAGGTGATGTTGTTTATAATACTGCAGAGATCTGGATCCATGAGAGATCTTTGGATGTTTGCTACAAACACTTCCACATGCCTAAAGCAGTCCCGCTCGCATCAGCCACTTCCATCCTCCATGGAGATATAAAGAAGTGGGTATCAGGGACGTCAGAAGAAGGTAGAGAAGTCCAGATGGCCTGATTTCTGTCTCTCAGGCAGTTGAAATTTCTTGTATGACATGGTCCAACTGTAAAGATTTTCAAAAATGGGCCCATTGATCTGCAAATGGCTGTCATGATATCAATACGCGGCTTGCAAGTTGTGACTGACTAGGTGCTCCAAATTTGGACTACCATTTCACTAGGGTTCCGTAAATTTGGGCCATGAAAATTACACTTGCTAATTAGCAGTTGTAAATTAGCATTAATTACAAGCTAAAGTGATGGTCCCAGTTTTGAGCATGTTAATTTTGGTTAATTTCATCCACTCAGTACGCATCCTACATGTGCACATAGCCCTGTCTTGTAGGTCCACTAACTGTACTAATCACATTTTGTGTGGTCATGTTAGATTGCTACCAGTACACAAACATAAAAACCACTGGGCTGATGGCCTCTTGGGATACTTGGTAGCTTTTTGTAATTAACACGCAAATTAGGCCAAATTAGCATGCTAATTAGCGCTAATTAATGCAGACCATGGGGCCCCATTGCTAATTAACAGTAAATTACACCTCCTCCGGCCAGTGACCTGCAAATTAGCAGTGCTAATAAGGAGCCCTCCCAAATGTACGGAACCCTACATTTCACCCGAACCACAGTGACAAGCATGGGCTGTACACTACATTCTGTCCAAACTATGAAGCATGAGAAGTCTGAGCTTCAAGTTTGCAGGCAAAGTCTGGCAGACCACGGGAAAAGGCTGTAGGACCCCGATCACTTATACCCACGGCTGTTTTGTGCCTCTTTAGATTTGACTTTGTAAGTTGTGTGTGGTCCATTACATACATCTGGAGGACACAGAGTCTCCAACGACTGAAAGCTCAACTTTACTCACAAACAACGCGTGTTGGCCATATACTGTCAGATTGCACCAAACACTTTTCAGGCACCTCTGGATTTTCATGAAACAAGACATGATGCCTCATAGACTTACTACAAAATATTTACTGTTGCCTGTACTCAGGATGAGGCCATTTGACTCAGCAAGTACTTAGGCCTTAGGGCCAGAAAATGTTTCCTGTTCCCTGCACTGGTGGATTAGCTAAAGGTGGCGGAAAACATGTGGGCAGTTACTAAATAGGGCCACACTATACTAAAATGAGCCGCTCAAAGCTTTTTGTCGAACATGAGCTGAGGGGGGCATCTGGAGCACATGAACATAAGCTCCAAGTGCTTTTTTATCAGACCAAAGGGTAAGGAAACAGAATTAGAGTAACAAACTGATGTATGTCTCTTGGATTCTTTCCTCAGTTCTATAAGTGTCGTGGATATTGACACATTACCCAAGGAATCAGGAATTATCTCTCACCAATGTAGACGGAGTAATAACAGGCCCAGTTGGTGCGCTCTCACCATACAAACTGGTCACCGCTATCCTACAGTACCCTTTGGAATTACGGTGTTCAAAAATATATCATACCTGCTCTACTAGCAGCTCAAGGATGGGTTGTTAGCTAGGTACAGGTGTGGGCATCCAGCCATCATATCCAGCATTAATAATATATTCTTGAGGTATGGTGCTTTTTCTGTACTCAAGTCAAACATGCTCAATACTCGTCCTGTTCGAGTTTGCAAGCTTGTGCTAACATTGTGTCACACATGGTTGGGGGGGGGGACCGCCGCAGCTGAGTCTGACCGATTAATGATATGAAAATCTTATACTGTTCATTCATTGTACAGTCATTTGCATAAGACACTGAGCATCACGTTTCTGCGCATGTTGTTTGGCCACACCAAATATGCCCTTTTCGGATATTGGCGGCAAACGCGCAGCAAAGGGCTTACTGGAGGGCAGAGTGTTCCTCATACATGTACCACTGCAGACAAACTAGAAAGACTTATTACACTAAGTATAGTTATATAGTATAATGGCATGCAATATACGAAGCCCTTTGAGCCCCTTCCAGACATCTACAAGCAGTGTTGTGTAGGGCACTGACTAGTCACCTAAAGTCGACAGCATGCCCCGACCACCTTGGTCGGCAACCTCAAACAACCATGACTTTCACATGATAGATGACCTTGGGGCAAAATCTGATGGATCATAGTGGCGCAAGTGCCAATCCCCGACTCCAGTCAGAAACCATTAAGTATTCCAGTACTAGTGTCTGGTCAAGCTGCGGAATGCCACTCTTGATGGATAAATACACAGTATTCACATAGTCCTGTCTTATATCTACATCAGTATTTAAAGGGGTTTCCTCGAGTTACCGGTTCCCGCTCAGAGATACTAGTCTCATCTATCGGCCTCACTTGTTTGAATCCATCCTTTTATCAAATGCTACACACTTGTATCACTTGATCATTCATGTCAGGTGTGTGCGGGCAGTTGTCTTCAAGTCGAAACAAAAGTGGCATCGGTCCGGTCGGGATCCCTGCTTACATGAGGTTCTCACGGCAAGAGCAGGTTGTATGGTGGAGCGACCATTTCTTCCCGACAGAACCCTCCTCCCAACTACCGTGGGAGTCGGGGACTGGACACGCTAGTCCTTTCCGGGGCTCCTTTTGGGCACACCCTGAGCTCCTCTCCCAAGATGCTTCGACCGTAGAAGGTCTAGAAGGAGGTCGGCTCAGATCATCCCGTCCCTCCCGGAGGCATGGTCAGATGAACTCTGCTATAATCTCGGTTTAGCAGTCAAAATACTTGCCGCGACCAACGTCGGGTACTTTGAAGGCTTGTACAGGTGCAGTCACGTCCGTTCTGCGGAAGCTAATGTAAGTCCTATCGTTCAACCGTCAAAGTCGAGATAATATATCGAGGGTGATGCTCCACTGGACTCAGGCAGGAGGATGAGTGTGATACTCGTCCTGGGCACGTGATCGCGTCGAGATTCGTAAGTTGCCAAGGACCTCATCCATTTATGCCGTATTCCGAATGCTCGCCCGCATATATGGCAGAGAGGGCAAGCGCACAGTCAGGCCCCAAATTTTTTCCTATTTCTTGGATACATGAACCAGGTCCACAGCACGCCTCTACAATCCCTACTGGGAGGCTTTGGCATCTCCCTCTCCGTACACGGTCTTCTGGTGTTGAATGGAAACGTGCTCGGTATCTCTGGCTTCCTTCACAGAGCTGCCAGAGGAGGAAATGAAGCTCTTGCGGGTGTCCTTGGTCTTGTCCTCGGCGGGCTGATAGTAGGAGCCATTGAGGGCAAGGGACCCACAACCTTCGATAACAATCTGCCCCGGATTATCACATCCGGCTTACTAGTAGGAATGGGCGCCAAAGTAGGAATTCATGTTGATGATCCGATGCCACCTACTGATTAAGGTGCAGCTTGCGAACGGCTGTACTTCTGGGTAATGATTGAATTCTTCTAACCGATTTCTCAGTTACTCACTGCTTTACAGACACATGATTTGTGGCATCTCGCGTTTCTCTTTGCGGTAAGTGTGAAGATTTTGACCTTGTCCGTCCGTTTCAAGCCCTACTGTTTCAGTTCCCTGGCCGCTACAGTGACATTCTCCGCTACGGGAATCCTTACCGCCCTCCTCCTGCACGCAAAATCCTTACCTTCACAGGGTTCCATGGATTGGACTCTGAGTCCCCTAGCGAAGCCTTTGATCGCCTTACAAACTCTTCCTCTAGCAATTCAGGCTGCTCTCTATTTCCACGTAAGTATGACTCTGTGTCCGTATATATCCTCACGCTAAGACTCTCGATCTATAGGCCCCTCAACTTGTCCCCGAAGGGGAAGGTGAAGGGATGCATCGGAAGTCTGCCACAAGTCGGTTACTGGTGTTCCTGACCAGTAGCCTAGATTTTGCGTTAGCCCTCCGAGTCTCCAACCTCACGGAGCCGCTGAAAGTCATTGGCTTCCTCGTCCTTCCTTTCGACCGTAGCTTCGACCCCTCGCTCGCCTTTCTCACCCTCGGTGCCTTACCTTTAACTACCCTCCTCTATCGCTATGGTCGTGGAGAGCATCCTCGGCTAGGCGGACCTTGGTCCGTACCTAAGTCAGGTAAGGTTGACGGACGCCTTCTGTTCGGAGCGGCTATATTTGGGATTGGGTGGGGAATGGAGGGTCTCTGTCGTACGTGGATCTATTCGTTTCGCTTCATTGGTTGTATGCTCAGCGTTTCTGTCAGCTGGTCCTGGGTTGGTTAATTTAGGCAGAGCTCTCTCAACCGGTCAGAACGTCGTTCCCATGGCTGCGTGGATTAGTTCAGTCATTGCCGGTGGCCTGCTCTACTGAGTGGACGATCACGTTATTTATGATACTATTGTACACCTCGCAGTAATGATTACACTCATCCCTATTCCTAGACTACAATGCGGATACATCGTGGAGCTCATGAGGAAGCGGCGGCCTTGGGGGCTGCGACTGGGGGCTTCGAACTGCTCGCAGCGCTATTCTTGCTCCTTCCCCATCGAACGCTGACTCGTTCACCCTCGATATCAAGGCCGTTGGCCCATGCCTGAGCTGCTAATTCAGCTGAAGGCCGATCTCTGAAGTTGACAAACGCGCATCTAGGCACGGTGGCAGTCTCAGAGTTGCAGTGAAGAGAAATGGAGACAAAATCGCGCTTACCTTGACTTGGCGACGTGTACAATGGATTTAATCTGATTTGGCTGTATTGCGGGGAGAGACTTCGTGACGCGTGTACGAATACTTTGTTCGGTAGCGGTCACGGGCAAAGAAGAAATGAACAGTGACGTCTACGGGCGAGCGGGTCAGATCAATATGTAAGCGAGGAACTGGTCCTGCATACCACCGACTGATCGTCTGGAGGCTGAAGTCCCATACTTGACGCATGTGTGAGCAGGATCTTCTTTGCGACTGCATCGTTGCGACCATAGTACCGATCCTGTATGTTCTGCTTTGACAGCTCGTTTTCGACAGGCTTTTCATGCCTTAAGATGGGGCCTCGGATGAGCCAGCGCAGTAAACGACCGACCGACCCACGTACCTGTACGGACACTCGTCTCCACGCTTACACTCGCCCTTTACAAAGAAGGAACAGACGTGTGGTCGATTGCGCTTGTAGTAAGGATCCGTCCTTGCTAGCTGTTTGAGCATCTCCTTGCCCGCAGACTGTGCCCTCGCCGAGTCCAGCAATGACTTGTTTCCTTCCAACTATTCCGCGAACACCGATTAGTCAGCAAAACCAAGATGCTCGAACGCGACTCACTTTCCCCTCCATATTCTGAGCATAATATTCCCTATTTATGTCGCTCGTGGGAGCCTCATTCTCTAGTGCCAATGCGGTATCTCGAACTTGGGTGGGCAGGCCATACTCTAGGTCAAGCAGACACGTCTGGCAGACGTTCTTGATTTTCGCACAGGTTTGGCAGATGACGGTCGTCTTGAAGCGCATGCCAGTTCCGGGGTTCCATCTGAAAACTGTGAATGGCCGAGCGCACGTACCGCACGACCGTCCGAACTCTTGCTTCGACTATTAAGGATTCAGTAAGTGTTAAAGCTAGTGGCGGAGCTTTTATCGACACACCATTCGAACAAACGCGTTGTCGCCAAGACCTGGGGCAAATGTGATAAGAAACGCAAAAGGCGACGGGGAAGAACATGTCTTACATGTTTCGCAGAGGATAGGGAACTCGCTCTGCTCCCATCCAGCCTTGTTTATATCGAGTTTGGGCGGCATAGCGGATGTGCGAATGAGAGTTGTAATGAATGCACAGCCACGGTTCTCTTAGCCAATTCGTGACTCCCTGACTCCTCCGAATCCCAGTCCGTTTCTGACTTCTTCCATGACACGATGATGTATCGCCACCGAATTCGACGTGCAGAGACAAGACGAGCCGGTTGCGAAATATACTATACATGAGCTGCACGACATTGTAACGCTACAACCAGGATTAAGAGTGTGGATGTTATTTCTATGCATACTTCACACGCAAAGACAGACTGAAGGGCAGCGTGGTGGCGGTGATCGTCATCTCTCCCCCGTCAGGTACTAGCTCCGATACCTTTTTTTCCAGGTTTGGTCGCGTAGCTTCCTCGAGCTGAGGCGGCGCCTGGAAATATATCTGCTTCGTCGGCGTCGACAGCGAAGGCTTCTTGATCTGACTATACCACGAAAGATGGATTCAGTAACCATAACAAATCGGCCGATGAAGAGGGCTTACATGTCTTGTCTCTCAACCAGCATCTCGATAAGCCGGTCGACGGTCCAGTCCTTGCTAATCGTGATGTCCATTGTCTGGCCTCCGCAAACCGGGCAGTCGTCACGCTTCTCGTGCTCGAAAGTATACGAATATACTCCTTCCGTGCCGATCAGCATAAAGTAATTGTTCAGGTATGCCGCAGAACTTGTTGCGATCTTGAATGCCTCATTGCAGCACGATGCTGAACAATCCTAGCTTTAGTAGTTATCGTCTTCTCGAGTAACCGACTACGCACCCGCGATGATGGCATTCGTCGATGCTATGGCTGGGATGATATTCTTTACCACTCCTTGCGTAAGCGACCATGTGACGCCCTCTATATTGAACTCCTTAGCGCGTTTCAAAGCAGTAATATATAGCCAGTTAATGTGCTCTGGGTCATCAGTGTCCATCTTCTTGTCTAATGGCGGGTGACTTAGATTTGAGATCCGCGATATGAATAAGATACTACCTTTGAATACACGAGGCCACTCTAGCACTGACGCCCATTCTATGCAATGCTCCGGCAGACGTGGGGTATTTGCGATGGTACAGATGGGGAATGCAGTTTGTTTGTTAAGCATGTCGAGCGAGCATTCGTAACATGACGTAATGGTGGGTAGAATCACGCGAGCCTGACCCTTGAATCCTTAGCGATGGTGTCAGCAGGGACAGCAGACGGAATCGAAGAGCTCACGGACCTTCGGTGCCACCGTCTATTAAAGGTTTCAGGCTCTCGGGATTTTCTGGGTCTACCATGTTGACGAGCGTGGCATTAATCCATCGCCGCGCTTCTACTGAGTCGAGACCACAAATGACAAGATTAAATTGCATGTAGTACTCCTCGTCCTTGTCCTGAATCTTGCCATAATACCTACGAATGACATGAATGACGGTCAGAATCCCTATGACCAATAAAAACTCACGGAGTAACTTTCACACCTGGTACCCTGTTCATGACAAACTCCGCGGCGACAATTGCCTTGGGTTTACCAACATCCTTTGGCCTGGGGACGCAGCATTGAGTGAAAGATAGAGGTAAGCGGGGCAAAACATGCCTGAAGAGGAACTGGCGGTTCAGGTTGCTGATGTCGATCGTGTCCATGTCTATAACGTGGATATCTTTGAATCCTGACAATGCAAGATTCGCTAGGATCTCGCAGCCCAAGCCTCCTGCACCGATAACGAGGATTTTGCATTGATTGCGCAAGAAATCCTTGACCTACCAGAGAAAGGGGTTTATTTGGGTAGCACCCTGTAGTAAATTCCTGTGTGAACGTACCCCATCGCCCGCCAGGAATGAAGGGTCTGTCCGAGGACCTGGGGTGTCCAGTACCTGGTCCACATGATAGTATCTCCCTGGCCAATCACTCGAGGATGAGTTCCCGTTCACAGAGGCCAACATGATTTGGATTGCAGGTGGGCACGAGACGCGGTTGAGTAGGACGGTTGGGATTAGCTCTGAAGTGCAGCTTGAGTGCAACAGGCGCAAGGCGGGTCCCAGTCAGTAATTAGCGTTCTATATTATGATCGGGGTCACGTGAGCATCATATCTGAGACTCGGATAGATTTTGGCTCCAGTTGAAGTTCGCGGTCGCTGGATCAACGATGGCATTGTCTGCTTCTGCTCTACACTTCTCGGGACACCAGTATCTGAGACATCGACTCGTTCTGTCTATCATCAGCGGCAAGCCGGTGAAGATCGACAAGATACGGCCGGAAGACAAGAATCCTGGTCTTCGGGGTAGGTAGGGGCATATTGGCTGAGCGAGCGAGCGAGAATCGAATGTAATTTTGCACTGCAGACTACGAAGTCAGTTTATTACGACTGCTGGAGAAAGCTACAAATGGGACGGTCATTGAGATATCGTATACCGGTCCGTTGTCCGGTGGTATATCACCTCTAATGGGCTGACAATGCGCGCAGGTACCGCCGTGCTGCTCAAACCGGGAGTCATCTCTGGCGGAACCGTTACACATGATTGCCCGCTCTCGCGATCAATAGGCTATTTCCTGGAGCCCGTTGTTATGCTGGCCCCCTTTGCCAAGAGTCCATTTCAGCTTACGTTGTGCGGTATCACAACCGACGACAAAGATCTATCCGTAAGTAACGGTTTGCTCTTGGATGATGTTGTACTCATGCACCAATCCTCCTTCAGGTCGATCTCATCAGAACTGTAACACTACCGCACCTCCAGCTATTCGGGATCTCGGATGGCCTTGAGCTTCGAGTACGGCATTGTCAATATGACCAGCCAGTTATTACTGACTAGGGTTTTGTAGATCAAGAAGCGTGGATCACCTCCGGAGGGCGGTGGCGAGATTCAATTTCTATGCCCTATAGTTAAGCAAGTGAAGACCTTGAATTTTGTGGATCCTGGAAAGATCAAGCGGATTCGAGGCATTGCGTGAGTATTACCCTGTGCTTGTACGTTCTTTGTACTTATGCGTGCTGCGATCTAGACATGCAGTTCGCGTGAGCCCGCAGTTCTCCAATCGCATGATTGATGCGGCAAGATCGATCCTGAACCGCTACATCCCTGATATTTATTTATACTCCGACGTATATAAAGGCCCTGAGAGTGGAAAGTAGGTACATCGTTCATAAAAATCGGCGAGTATGTGCTCATTTCCCTGTGCAGGTCGCCAGGATACGCGCTCAGTCTACTAGCCGAGTCCACTACAGGAGCTATACATTGCTCGGAAGTTGTCTCGCGACCGGGCGTAGCCCCAGAGGACATTGCTATTACCGCAACCCGCGCCCTGCTGTCTGAGATCCAACGAGGCGGATGCGTAGATCGGAAACACCAGACGCTCGTGCTGCTGCTGATGGTCCTCGGCAGTGAGGATGTCGGCAGGTGTAGATTGGGCGAACCTACCCCTCGAACGTGAGTCATCGAGCTGGCCATTACGTGTAACTCGTATCAATACCATTCTGGTCTAGGATTCAATTCTTGAGGGATATACGGGATTTTTTCGGCACGTCTTTCAAGATTATGCCTGCGAATCCCTCAGACCCGTCCTCGGGCGAACTACTGTTCTCGTGTTACGGGACTGGTTACACGAATATTAATCGTTCCGTGGCATAGGCATCGCGCTGCCATATCTTCGAAAGTACCCTATGTATCAACTTTTCTGTCATCTATGTACATCATACCGTGTATCATGTAGAGTTTCAGACGTTACGGCCATGAGATGACTTGTGACGGCCGTAAGGGCATGTCAACGCAGCATTCTCGTTTGCATCTTTTATGGACTTGGATGAGCCTCGCATCGTACACGAGCACAACATAGAGTGCAAGAAAGAAACAACAGACAAGAGGTGGCCACGACACCAAGAAACGTCGCGAGAGCAAGCCGTTCAAGGTTCCTGCTTAACCTACACGACCGTGTCGTGCACGATACCCTCAACCTTCTCATGCACGGGGGTTAAAAAGTCGCCATCACTGCGCGAGTCGGTTTGAGACGTGAAGTGTACGACCAATCCTCCACGGGGTACGGCGCCGCGCTCTCTCACGACATTTCCCGTTATGTCGGACTTGTCACCTGCGGTAGCACCCGATAGTCCGCTCTGGGTCACGTACGAAGGGTTTGACGAGAATGTGATGTTCGCATCAGTCTGCAACGAGGCCGTGGTCAGACCGTGACCGGAGGCGACACGGACGATAACCAAAAGTGGGGCGATGATCTGTGTCAAAGCATTAACGCCATTGTGCACCGAACAGTTGCACTAAATGGAGCGCTTACTTGCACTTGACTGAGGATTTGCATAAAGATGAATTGCAGCGGATGATTCAGGACGTAAGGAACCAGGAAAAGGATGGAGCATGCTGCATAGAGCGCCGCGGATTCCACAAGAATAGCAGCGATCGCGACATAGTACTTCCCGTACGCTTCGCCCAGGCTCTTGCACATCTCGCGACGGTGCAGCAGGAGCCGGACCAGAATAAAGAGTGTCACCAGAATGTTGAGTGATAACGATATAGAGAAGTAGGTCAGAGCAAAATTGATGCTCGATGTGGACCATAGACTGAGGCCTGGTCGGGACACCTGGGTGAGTAGGATCGTGCCCATGGCTGAGCTGTATGTCAATGGCATGGAATAGATGTGTTATCACGCCGTATACTCACCGAAGGACGCCATCCACATCAGGCAGGGTATAGCGATGACCGGCCATACGTAACGACCGGTCCAAACGATATAACAGCGCCAAATCTTCAAGGTCCGCCGTCAGTGGGGACGAGAATACAAGCGCAGGAAACTGACCATGAGAGCGTCCGCTAACCAATTGGCGATGGTAAACGTTACGTTGCCTAGTAGATTGGATGGTATGGAATATGCAGCCTCTTGCCAGACGACCGGTCCACCAGGGAAGTTACGGTCGTCGATGAACGTCATTTGTGCTACTCTTGAACTGCTCGCGAGGAACAGCGTCCCAAGTATGAACATCGCAATGACATAGGCAAGGAAAACCCGATTCACGCGTCTTCGATGCAACTCCTTGATAAGGACGTAGGCGCATTGCACGAAGATGGAGAAGTGGATGCCTGTATTGTGAGTATTGGTGAGTTCGTGAGATGAGGACACGAGGACTCTATTACCCCACCATAAACAACACCGGTCATGATAGCGCCATCGAGGAGGGTACGCTCAGTGAATAATTGCACAGCCGTCTCCCCAGGCGGCAAATACGCAGGCGAAGTTACCGGCGTAGACATGACAGTGAAAGCGACTGCAGGCAGATGGGTCTGTGGGGGAGAGGAAGGCGAGCGAAGGAAGCGTCACGCTGGAGAGACCGCCATGAAAAGGGTAGGCTTCATCCTGAACATACTTTCGACAGCGTGTACGCACGATATCGCGACCCCTCATCCTGGGATTCCAGGACTGCATAAGGGGTAAAATCAGACCCTGAGGGTTGCATCTGGCATGTCAGAGTCTCAATCAGGAGCGTATGCAGAACATCCCACACCCAAAGGTGAGGCATGGAGCTAAGATAACATGCCATGTTAGTCGGATCAATCATATCTACCCACTCCAGGCCATTGCAGAAAGCCGCCAATCTACCTTTCACCCACGCCCACCAGTCTATCTTGGGTCGTCTGTGGGTCCAAAGGTCGAAGACAAGTGGGGAGGCGCAATTCTGGATGTCGCGGCGAGTTGTCTGTCCTTGTTTGCTCCGAGGTAGACATTGGGATGAAAAGTTGTAGCAAAGTTTGGAGAGCTATACTCTGATTATGAACATGATTCTTAATATCTAGAATGCTCAGGAAAGACAGTGGGCATGTGGTCTAGTCCGTAGTTTCTGGAAATTCATGTTCAATGAGTGGAATCCTGATTGTATTTTGCTCAATATGGGAGGAAGCAGAAAAGCATGGACGAGTCAACATGCACAAGTACATTTCTTGCAGATGTTACTAATTGACCTAAGCCTGAAAGTCAAGCGCTGAGCCATAACTTTGCGACAGAAATTCGTGCTGCATGCGGGGAGACGCGGTGTGACCCTCGCGTGACACCAGCGCAAAATTGTCACACTCGACCGATGGGGCACGAGCGTTGACAGAGCAAGTATCCAGAGTCATATATCCCTTAATTATACTTGATTCAACTACTAGGCTTATATGCAACAGTCCCATAACCCATGCCATCGCGAAATCACACCGTCAATGGCTTGTACCACGCTTCAGCCACAATTTGCTTATTAAGCAACGTGCTCGATCTGGTGGTCTCCCCAAGACAAGCACCTGTTGCAGCGCACACTGAAGACATGTGAGTGGCTAGTCGCAGGTTAGCATCTCATGAAATCCGAGTCAGCAGGTGCCTCGTCCACTGGCAACGAGCTCCGTGTTCTGCCCAAAGGAACAAGTGTTCAATGCAGTATAAAGAATCAGAAACTAATTGTTCGGCCACTTTACAGCTCGTAAGTTTGATTGCTGATGCACGAAGCACGCGTATGCATATGCCCCTCCTTTGGGAGGGGTTCTGGCACCCTTGAATTGCATCGCACTTTTCGTTGCACCGGCAAAATCCGGCGTGCCATGTTTGGCCCTAGTGGCGCCACTACTGAACAAGGACTTGGCCATGGTCGGGAATCCATCTCAATGTTCACACTTAAGTCCCACTCAACTATGTAATTAGTGTTGGTTTGTGGATGCCACCAGGTACAGATGAAGGCCTATTGTGAGCTAGAACTTAGAGGTACAGGGAGCGCATAGTATTAAGCATAGATCCTTGTACCTCAGAATTTTTGAGTGTTGTATGTCATGGCTTGAGAAGAATTTGAGTGTATGTGCACTCCATCTAACATGGGTATTAATCATTCTAGTTTTTTGGGTCTCCATGCCATATGTAAGTCTGTGATGGACAATTTACAAATAAGTAGAATTAAGAAAATCCATGTCATTCCATGGCTTATGAGGCTGAACAGACTGTAAGATAAAACTATGATGTGAGGTGAATGCCAGATGTCCAGGCAACAGACATGCACCATTAGGCATTCTTGGAGAGTGGGTAAGTATCTCATAGACTACTCAGGATACAACAGCACAGGACATTCTACCTGGCCCTAGATGGAGCTTGACTGAAAGAGAACCAGGGAAAACTTAGGTCCCCTATATTACTAACAATATCCTTTGTATTATCTTACATGGTAGAAATAGTCTCCTTACGATGATTTGTCGACCCCCTGTAGCAGCCGTAACATCTTGAACTTAGTGCAAGTTCTCAAGCTCAATTTCTTGAACAAAGGAGGGGTAAGTTGCCGGCGCCAGATGGCGCTTCACAAGTCTAGAGTTGGTCATTGCAATTGCAATAAACACTCTCGAAGGATTGAACTTAACAGCAGTGAGAAACCTTCGGCAGTATCCATGCGGCAGCACTGGCAGTCCAAGGGCACCAGACAGAGACCTCGAACTCACTGGCCAACATGTGTATGAATTTTTTGAGTATCAATCAGCAACCTGCTTGAGGTTACAGTACTAAGTCTGAGTGCGCAAATGAGAGTATGCAATCGGCGGAAAATCATAGGACAAGCAAGGGGCAGAACTTTCTGGAACATTCTGGTATATTCCACTATTGTACAAAGGCACAGAGCTCATGTGGGTCAGTGACATCATAGGTGGAGCTCAGTAGGATTAGGGATATTCCACATAGCTTAGTCAGCCTATGGGCCACAGTGTATATAAACCCTGCAGCTCTGCTGCCTAATGACAAGGGTTGTTCATACGAGCTTAACCAGTAGCTGTAGAATCCACTCAATACAGGTGAGTTGTGTAGGGCCCACTGTGCGTGCTGCTGCCTCCATGACTCTTCATCAGACCCCCCCTCCCCCCATGGGACAGTCTCATGGTACATAAAGGGAAGGTATGCCGCATAGCAAGCAAGGGTTAGGGTTACTTCGTCACAGGGGGAGTCACATCTACTTTGGTCACACTTCATATGTTTTTGTGAAGATCGCTACCAGGGGTCATTCTTTCTCACCGCTTTCCTTTAGGATACTGTAGAAAGGTGTTTAGGTTACTCAAAGTACCCAATGGTGTGCCAGATACCTACCTGTTAACCCCTTACCCCACATGGCTGTGCACTTAACTGATAATAAATCTCAGTTAAGGGCTCCGAGGTCCCCCCCCTCCCCCTGCATGTGGTCTCAGCATCTCCCAGTGTCTGCCTCTTGCAGACAAGTATGTTTTCTCCGTGGCCTCCCTAGGCTGCGTGCATTTGCTGGCCTCGCTGATGTCAGACTCACTATGTCTCACAATATCATCTATAGACTGATCTATGCATATCTGACAGGCACCGTACAACAGACACTTTGTCTGGTTTTACCCAGGTCCTTTCAGTTTTGAAATGTAAAGTGAGCGATTCGCGCATGCTTAATGCTCATTAGCTATATAGCACAACCAAAGTGGTTGACATCACCTGGGGTAAGTACCCTAGGCCTCTCTAGCTGACTGTCGCAGTGTGAGGTAATTTTCCGCTCAATGCTGTCATCTACTTGTGGCTAGCAGTTACAAACAGACCAACTGAATACTCTCATTGCGGGGGATCTGTAAAAACTGGATTTTTTACACTTCCTCTGAAACTCGTGCTTTATGTGACAGGAGGCTTAGAAACTATGTAGGTATATAGATAGGCCTCTTTTATAATGCTCTGTGAAGTTAGCTTGACAGGAAGACAACTCTCTGTAGAATAAGAGATGAAATAGCATCAGAAAGTCAAGGTGCAAGCATGGGAATTCCCTATGATTCTTTAGATCTCTCCTGATAAGAGGCAGAAAAGAGCAGAACCAGTTGTCTATAGCTTAATTGCTGCCTCACATTGCCTATGCACTGGCCCGATTGGAGTGATCTGGCAACGACGACCAACAATGGCTTGTTTAACGCAAGAACTGACAGGTGAACATGACAAGGCTCCCACCACCAACACATTGCAATTCAAACTCCACCCCCTGAGTATCAGCAGGCTCCGAGGTGTTGGCTTGTCATGGTCTCATTATACCTCATCATGCCAAGCGGAGATCGAATTTGCCATGTGACATATGTGCAACTGCTTTTACACTTCTACTGGGATTTGGGTGGTCAATACTGGCATCTCTACTGTTGCCCCAGTTCCACATATTTTGCTACAGTACTTGCTGGAGTATGTAACTGAGTAACTAAGCTATGATGCCTAAGAGAAATGGAGTCATTAACTTTAGTTCTGAGGGTGCTGTGAGGAGAACTGTCAGGTTTTTACAGATCCCCCGCAATGATAGTACATTGCTTCCCATCTGAGTTGGACCACTGCCGTACAAACACCCTCCCCTACTTCCTATTAGCTACTTGGCCCGATGACTGTATGTTTTTAGGAACATGTAGAACATTCGACTCCCCACCCTGTCACAAAATACCCACCTGCTGAGAGCAATGACCTCGGAACGCTTATGATAGCAGAGAACCACTATGCATGACGGAAGCACACAAAATAGCAGGTGACACTCATATGCATGATGTTCACAAGCCCGACTATCTGCTTGCTTTTCCTCTGGTGCCTTACATCCCGTGACCTACCCTCTGGGCCATCAGTAGAAGCAACCCTTGCAGTGCCTCAGGCAACATCACTGTCGGAACTCACTTTGCATAGGGTCATCTCAGGAACCAGCTGGGTGATCAAGGGAAAACATCTGCCATCCACAATGCATGGGTATTGTGGCTTCATGGCTGAGACTGAAGTTTGCATTTTCAAGCTGGGCCAGTCAAGTAATTCTCCAGCAAGTTCAGGATCTTTCAGGTATGTTGTCAGATGAGAATATTATTGGATTGCAAAATCCTGTTTCCACTCCCCACTGAATCTATCACCCAGATTCAATCTCTACTGCCTCTTTCAGGAGGGAGTCCTGCAGTTCTGATAGGTATGTGTCTGGTCTTCGCTTGATGAGACTTTCGAGATACTATGGCAGCATGAGCAAGAAGGGA